TTGTTACTACTAGTAAGGCACTTGTTACTAGAAGCGATGCACTTGTTACTAGTAGTTTTTTGCGTTTTTGTTTCTAATAGCTTCTTGTTACTACTAGTAAGGCACTTGTTTCTAAAAACGATGCACTTGTTACTAGTAGCTTCTTACAGTGCTTCTTACTTCTAATAGCTTCTTGTTACTACTAGTAAGGCACTTGTTACTAGAAGCGATGCACTTGTTACTAGTAGCTTTTTTTCCAATAGCAAACATGGTTACTACTAGTAAGGCACGTGTTACTAGAAGCGATGCACTTGTTACTAGAAGCTATGCACTTGTTACTAGTGACACACGAGGTCGTGTTCCAGCCAGGCGGTCTTTGTATCCCCCGCAGGCTTTCCCGCGGCGGCGGATCGCCTCATTTGTTGGGCGCCCAAAGACTTGGCCCGGCGCCTTCAGTGGAGCTTTCCGCAGGGTGGCTACGAGGCACCGGGCGCGTTTCGATTTTTTCTCCAGAATGATACAATCTCAGACAGATCTTACAGGCTGGACAAATGTTTCTTGGTGGTTTGACTGAGTCTGAGTCTCGCTTCTGGTGGCTCAAATTCGATCAGTCAACTCTATTTGTTTGGCCTGACTCCCGGTCATTCCAGCAGCATCGTGCCAGGTAAACCACAAGCAAGGGGGTAGTGATCATAGGCCTGTGAGACTGGAGGCACGCACCCAGAGAGTCAGAGGAACGAGTTGTGAATGGATTACGATGTACTTGTGAGTTGTTGGTTCTGCTTAAGGGGTTCTTACAATTACCAGGACACCTGGTCACTGTTCCAGGTACAGCTGACGCTGCAGCCATCTCGAGAAGAGCCTGTAAAGGGGGAGGAGCTTGAGCTTCCGCCTGACTTGCTGCAAGCCGTCGCTGAGGACGAGGAAGGTGATGGAGGTGGGGAAAACTGAAACGGAGTTGCGACGCTTAGAGTCTCAGGATGTCACTGAACCTGGATGATGCTTAGCATGGCTACTGGGCACCTGTAGGATCCTGTAGGTTTTGATCATTCTGGCCGGTTGGCCAGCCGCCGGGAAGTCAGCGAGAATCGGTTCAAGTTGGATACAGTTTGGATGAGGCGAATCGCCTGGGCTGCTGAACAGCTTGGCGAGTGCAGTTCCTTGGCTGAGTGTGGATGACAAACATGGGCAAGCCATCGCTGTTTAATACCGATTCAAGACGATCATTGAGCACACACAGTCTTCAGTTCAGATTGTTGGATCCTAGAGATTGAGCTTTCCAAGTGATGCTGGCTTTGGAGGATCAAGCTTTCTACTAAAGCTCTCAGTGATTCAGCTGGAGGCGCATTACAAATATATTGTAAAGGCTGCTATGTCTATGTCTATATACTGTAAATTGAGTCGATACGACCAACTTTGAACACGGAAGGTGTTGAAGCCATAGAACCACGGGGAAAAAATTAGTGGAACAGCAGCTGCATTCGCACGTGTTTCATGGCAATGCTCACGCGCACTACGATCTTGAGCTGGCTTCTCTTGTTCTTGGCAGATGCCTACGAAACATGGCACCTTGTAGATTTAGCACAGGTGGTATGTCCAAAGCCAACGAGTAGCAATCCAGATGCACCGGTCTTTCCTGACTACAACCTGGGCATCAACTACTCCAGCGAGTTGCAGTTCGATGCACCCCACATTGTGGGCTTTATTCGTGCGAGCGGACAAGCTATGTCAATCACCTTCAAGGTTGAGGATTTCTATGGTGAGCAGGTGAGGCTTCAGAATGTTCAGCAATTTGATGGTTGCTTCTTGCGTTATACCATACATTGTTACATAGGGAGAAGTTGTGCTTTGTTGAGGTGCCCAAGAATTCACTACTTGTCCTGAATGTGTGAGAGGGACGTTCATTCTGTGTTCATACTTAGACAAGTTGCGATTGGCGTCCCTGCTCGTGGCATTTTCTTGCCATTCCTAAGGTGGTTCCAGAGACCACTGTTCAACTTCAGGAACTCAGCGATGCAGTTCCATCCAGCTGCACATGCACCAATCCCACGATTCCGGTACAGGTGTCTTCAACGTATGGAAGCTCGACTTGAGATTTCTGTTGGAGCGTTCCTTGATTATCATAATGTTCTTCTATGTCTTCCATGGAACATGTCATGTCCCACCAGTCACAGATTTCCTGCACGTGCTGCTTGTAAAGTTAAATGTAGTTTATATATACATGTGAGAATTTCAATGGCTGTCCAGCATTGAAAAATGTTTTTTTTAGAGCTGGCAGACCAAGGTCAAAACTACGGAGCCCAATGCGGAGCATGGGATGAGCCAAAATGTGGTGAGCTTTGGGGCAACACTACTGTGGGTGCCCTCGGCGGTTCACATGTTGCAGTCGTTCGTAGCTGCTTTGACGTATGCAGAAATTCATTCTAGTGTGGAATTTGTTCACATGGACACATGCAGGTCTATTCTCAGGCCTCCTCGTGAGGATAACCCATGCAGGGCAACTCCAAGCACACAGATGAAATACAACAGGTCGGACAAGTCACAGATCGCATGGATGTGCTAGAGCAAGGGACGAGCTGACTAACCAGAACATGCCGAGCAACACCCCCTCAATGCCCTTTCAAGGTCTTCACCTCCTGCAATGCAAAAACGGCCTGACAAGAGCAGACCTCCTCACTCACGCAGGGCCAAGCACCACTTTGAAGAGGCCAATGCTCAGGACATGTTTGAATAAATCGGCGTCAAAGATCAACATTGCTCCTTTGTGCTCATCAAACTGCCCCCAGAGCCTCACAGGACCGGGACCTGGAAGCTTGGGCAATCCAGGTGAAAGAAATTCCTAGCCTAGCCCATGGCAAGAAGCTGTGGGTGGGCCCCAACTGTTTCCAAACTCGTCAAATCCCTTTAGCCAGCCTTGGACTGTTCCGAGACACCATGGATGTCGAACATGACGCTGGCACGGTGGCCCAATCAACTAACCGTGGCCTGTTGCTGGCTCCTGACCATCACGGTGCTGGCTCCTGAAGGGAGGTTTTGCACACAAGGATGCTGGCATTCAGCTTGGTGTCAACTCACCCTGACTCGAGTGTGATGCAGGCTGGTGGACGAGCACTGACAGAGGCAGGAACCCACTTTTCAGTCACAAAGCCGTGCCACCTGGCATCAACGGTTTTGCCTTGACGTGGGCATAATTGCATCATCAAATCCGTTTCAAAACTTTACTTCACCAGCTTTGTAGCACTACTGTATCATCTCACTCCACAACATGAATGAACATATCACACAGACGCATCAGACACAGAGTTTCTTTGCAAAGGTGTTCTCATCTTTTCTCATTTGCATGTTCGTGCAGTGCTTTCGGACCACTGTGTTCATCATTTGCATACACGCATCCGCTATTATCATGTCTCTTTCCGTCCGCTTGTTGTTACTTGTTTGACTTTGTCATAAACTGATATAACATGTTGTTGATGTATAACTTTATATAACCCAAGCCTGTGTGGGGGCATCCAGTCCTTTAATTTGTGCATAGAGGATGGATGTTTACAGGAGAGGATGCTTGATTTCTGGCAGGGGAATGGTGCTGCCGTCAATGGTGCTACGCCTCCTCCGAGTGTCCAGATGCTTATCAAAGCCAGGCTATACCGGGGCAGTACTTCAGTCACCTTGGTCGCACGGTAGACCAGTGCACGGTGTTGAGTTGAGGAGGATAAGGACTAGGATAAGGATATACAAGGATATTAAAGGCTACTCAAATGTATCAAGTAAAAACAAAAACAACAAAATTATTCTCCAAAAACCCTTTTGTGCTCCAAAACCCCAAAGCCTCAATGTTCGACAAAGTCTAAATAACCAGCCCACCCATGTAATTTTGCGATTGAGAGCAGCAAACGCCTGGAAATGCTTCTAAGCCAATGGCAGCCAACATTTAGATAGGAGCAAGAGTTGAACCCAAACCCCAAAAGAGCAGACGATCCATCTTCTTTGGAACGTGCAGCTCTAGCAAACTGCTGTATATGATTTCCTCCTGAGGTTTTACGAGGACCAAAACTGCACCACACCACTACTTAGTGTAAGCAGCGAAAACATTGATGATCCCATTTTAGCGCAGTTTCCACAACGTCGGATGTGTCTCCGTATAGCCCAAATAGAACAGCAACAACAACAACAACAATTTTTGCCCTTTGACTTTCCCACGTTCGTTGTGTATTGCCATGTGCGCGCCAGAGACAGAGAGAGAGAGAGAGAACTATGAGAAAACACACTGGTCAGGGATGCTTGAAGTAGCATGCCGGGTTGTCAGGCTTCACCCTCACAGGAATGCGAACTCCATAAGTCATACTCTGCACATTCAATCCTTGGACACTGCCAAAAGGGCAATAGAGAAGATCTTCGGAGACAAACAGTTGCAGTAAATAGCTCACATACTCAGCCAAAACCGCCACAGACATGGACAGAAGGAAAGATGCCTGCCTCGCATTTGTGATTGTCCCACCCGCACCTTTGTGCTGCATGAACCCCACAAGCTGGAGGGATTGGGCCATGACAAGAGCCCGAGTGACCTCCACAGTCAGCCACACACAAGCCAACCCTGTTGCCTTACTGTAGCAGAAACTTTGTCATAGGTAGCGTCGATTTCAAAGGTCTCATGTACTGCTTGCTTGCTCAGAGTTGGTGAAGTAGTCGCACACAGCAATGAGTCAGCACCACTGAGCACCCTCTCAACCTCCCCAACAAAATTGAAAACAGCTTGGTCATTCTTACAGGGCTTGCAGCTTCAAGCAAACATGAATGAGATTTGTTCGCGATAAAAACACGTTGAGCTTTGCGTTCAGCACGTTTGCAGAGCTCATTACTGTTTTAAATGTCCTTGACACTTTCCATTTACCATACAACATCCACAAGAATGCATCTGATTCAAAACATTAGCGGAAAAAACGGGAAACATGTGGAAACATATTTGGACATGACATGTCATGGACTGTTTGATTGCATCGTGTGTGCTTTACGTGGAGTCGAGTAGAGCATTTGGATGGCGTTTGAGTCCCCGAGACTCAGAGGGTGCCCTGCTCAACCAAGAACTGGGCAATAAATATGCTGCATGCTGCATGCAGTTGTTTTTTTAAAGATTCTTGTTTGGTTTGTGCTGAAGTAGACAGGTTTTTTGATTTGTAACATTCTGTCAAGCAGCATTTTTGTGAACAATGAAGCCACTTGAATCAGCTTGCATGTCTATCTTCAGGTTTTCCTCAGATGCTTTTGTCAGTAATCATACTTTGTGTTCAATGCCGAGGCTATGCTGCATGCAAGGCTTATGCAGCAGTGGCTCCATGCCAGTGGACACAAGTGGCTGAAGAAAAAGACCCATGCACATGTGCCCTGGCAATGGGGTTGTCAGTAAATACAAGTAGTTCCCGGGCAAGCCGGCGGCGGAAGTTTCCAAAAGAGTGAACCTATAGGAAATGGGCATGTGCAGGCTGATTCGCCGAGCTGCGATGTTCTTTGACAAAACAAGTTGGAACCGACCAATGGAGCGAAAGCGAAGCAACCACCGTCAACTGTCTCGCATTTTGCAAAATACAGAATAGAGATGACTCAGCCGCGTACTAAAGTTGTACTACAAAGTCGCCAGTTCTCAGCTTCCAGCTCCACGGCTTGCTCCGCGTACTAGAGTTGTACTACAAAGTCGCCAGTTCTCAGCTTCCAGCTCCACAGATTGCTCCGCGCACTAAAGTTGTACTAGAAAGTCGCCAGTTCTCATCTTCCAGCTCCCCAGATACTCCGCGTACTAAAGTTGTACTACAAAGTCGCCAGTTCTCAGCTTCCAGCTCCACAGATTGCTCCGCGTACTAAAGTTGTACTACAAAGTCGCCAGTTCTCAGCTTCCAGCTCCCCAGATTGCTCCGCGAACTAAAGTTGTACTACAAAGTCGCCAGTTCTCAGCTTCCAGCTCCCCAGATTGCTCCGCGTACTAAAGTTGCACTACAAAGTCGCCAGTTCGCAGCTTCCAGCTCCACAGACTGCTCCGCGTACTAAAGTTGTACTACAAACTACAAACTCGCCAGTTCTCATCTTCCAGCTCCGCAGATACTCCGCA